TTTTTCTTTCTTTCTTTTTTTATTTTGGTACTGGGAATCGAACTCACGACCTCGCGCTTGCCAGGCAAGCGCTGTGCCACTAAGCTAAATCCCCAGCCCCTTTTCTTTCTTTTTTTGAGACAGGGTCTCACTATATAGCTTAGGCTGGCCTCAAACTCACAATGATCCTCCTGCCTCAGCCTCCCCACCACACACATCTTTTCCACCTTTCTTTTGGTTTTACTTGCTAGGGAGGTGAGATGACCCTTGGCTTGGGAAGCAGTGGTGTGTGCTTTTTCTTCACTGTATAGTACTCCACCACACATTATGAACTTTGTTTAACCTGTGCTTGAGAGGTGTTTGAGCTTTTTCCAGTATTTGGTGTGATGAACAGAGGTACTGCAATGTGTTTTTGGTGGACAAGTGTTGAATTTCTGCCTTGAACAAATAGGAGCTCAGGTCCCAGAATATCCACTGTGTGTAGCTGACATTCTCATGAGTGGAAGATGGGGTGGTGTTTGAGGGTGGGAGCACCCTGGGAATGGGTGCACCTTTCATGGTGGAGGCTGGGGGATGCTGGGGTGGATGTCTGAGCCCTCCTGCCTGTACTGCCCCAGAGTCATCTCCATGGGACCAATCCAGCAGACCTTCGCCCCTAACAGGGAAGGCGTCCCGCCCCTGACAGGGAAGGGGTCCTGCCCCATTGTGCACTGCGCATGCCCAGCAGGGAGGGGGCGGAGCTGAGCATCCCCAGCCGTCACCCCACTTTCCGCCTCCCTCTCGCTACAAAACCTTCATGTAGGTCTGGGTTGGGGACAGTAGGAATGGGCGCTTCTGTCTTTCTAATTCTGTCAACCATGAGGGCCGGGCATAGTGGTGCACACCTGTGATCCCAGCACTTGGGAGGCTGAGGCAGGAGGCTGTGAGTTCATGGCCTGCCGGAACTGCATAGTGAGAACTTGTTTCCAAAAACCAAACCAAAACAGCAAGAACTGCACGAGGGTCCGGACCCCCGAGTCGTTGGTAGCTCTGTGAGTGTCCCCCACCTTCGAATCCCCCCACAGCTGCTCTCAGGAGCGAGGCGACGCCCGCTCCTCACCAGTCCGCTCCAGCAGCAGGGTGGCGACCCCGTGGGGGTCACAGTGTAACCAGCTCACCGCTCTGGAATAAGATCACAGTTGAGGAACAGTCTTGAGAAACGGAAGCCAGGTCGGACCTCGGGCCCCAGGGTCGAGGCTGAGCAGGAGGACTCAGACCCCAGCACACCCCCCAGCTTCTCACCTGAAATGGAGCCGGGGCTCCCACGTCCCCTGGAAAAAGTGGGGGGCTGCAGGTCCAACTTCTAGTGAGGAACTCAAGTGTCAGAGAGGACACTGTTCCTCTCTTCACCGAGGACTTGGGTGGCCAGAGACGCCTCAGACACCCCTGAAACTTCAGGGGTCTCCGAGGGGGCCTCTCCCAGAAAGCACCCCAAGCCCGCTGCCTGGCTACACAACTAGGTCTTTTCATGTGCGCAGCATGCTCTCGCCCAGGACGATGAAGGTAGCTTTGCTTTTTCAGGAGCCTGGAAACCACAGATCTTTCTTATCTCAGTTCATTTCCCTTTCATTTGTGCTAGGTTCTTGTCTCCTACCCCCCCACACACTCCTACTCCTACTTCAAAACCCACTGCAGATTTTCCATGTTTAGTGAAGCACCAGGATAACTTTTGGTTCTTTCCTGTCCTCTGCTCCAACTGCTGACACCCATGGGGAAGTATCAGTGTCTGAACTCCGTCTCCCTTCTCCACTACTGCGGGGGTCCTCAAAGTACTCAACACGGAGGCACAGCAGAGAGGGTGTTGAGTTAGTGGAAAAGCGAGGGAGGGAGAAGGAAGGGATGCAGCGATGCGGAGCCGGCGGAGGTGGACGAAGGAGGGAGGGCACTCGGCAGACCTGGTGGGACAGATGGAGAGAGGGAGCCGGAAGGAGGTGGGCAGGGCCAGATGGGCGGGCAGGGGCGACAGGAGGGTGGGGTGTGGGGAGACCCAGCTCCCTGCCTGGCGCCTCCTCCCGGCCCGGCGTGTGCGCGCCCGTGCGCCCGGGCGGCGGCGGCACGTGGATGCCAGCCTGGCGCGGCGCGGCCGGTGGGTAAGGCGGGCGCAGGCTGGCGCCGGGCGCGGGGCGGGGACGGAGGGGCCTCGGAGCGCGGCAGCGGCTGGGGGCTTGGAGAGGAGGGGGTCCCCGCTGGCTTCCCTGGGCAGACTGGGACCGCTCCTCTGTCCCCAGCTGGCCCAGCATGGGGGAAAAGGCCTTGCAATCAGAGGCCGAAGGTCCCGGGTCCAGCAGTGGACGGGCAGGGAGGAAGGGGTGGCGAAGAGGTACCCCATACCCTGCGAACAGGGTGCGGACGGAGGGGGCTGGGTGATGGGGTAGATTCTCTCCCCGTGTCCGCCCCTCCCTCCCTCCCTCCCTCGGCTCATCCATCTCTAAAAGATTATATTTAAATATCTCTTTTATGCAAGGCAGGAGCTGGGCTCGGCCCTAAGAGGCGGTTTCCATGGCAACAACAATTGCCAGCTTCCGTGTGGTGAATCAGCGTTGCCATGGCAACCCCATCCTCCTCTGCCCAAGGTGCTGGGAGGGAGGAAGGGAGAGGAGGAGGTGAGGGCCAGCGGAGGCGGGAGGGGGCTGGTGGGAGAGCGGGAGGGTAGAGCTGGGGTTCCCCCTGCTGTCCCCCTCTTCTGGCCACCCCAGTCCCAGAAGCTGGTCCCATCCGGTTGGAGTAACCTCCCCTCCTGTCTCCAGTGCGCTGGGGTGTGGTACCCAGGTTGCGAGGAGCCGCCGGGGTGTGTAGGGGGTGGCGGGGCTGGGAGGCTGCTGGCCGGGTGGGGGAAGGGAGGAGTGTTGGGGACGTTGCCAGGTGGTCAGGTCCCGCGGAGTGCTTGCCTGGGGGCAAGAAGGTTGGGCTGGGGAAGGCTAAGGGCTCTCTGGGGTCCCCGAGGCTGAGTTCAAATGGAGGTAACCCCAGGTGTGTCCGGGACACACTCACAGAGGAGGACAGGGCTGGAAGGGGGAAGGTTCCGAGTGGGGAGGGGATTCGGGAAGGGAGGTGCTGGGGGGCAGGGGTGGGGTCGAGGGAGGATGCCAGGGTGAGGGTTGCTCAGAGGCCTGCGGGGTCTGGGAGGGGTCGGGCAGGGAAGGAACCCAGAGGCAGGGGAGCTGGGGTCCACAGATGGGGAGCGGGTGTGCTCTTGGGAGCCGGTGGAAAGTTCCCTGGGGCCACAGTTCAGGAAGCGCTCCCCACCGTTAGCAGGGAAGCTTGTCCCTTCTTTCTGGGCCTCAGTGGTAACATCTTAGGATGGGTGCAGACGCCCTGTCCCGGGGCTGAGTGGACGTGGGGGGTACTTGTTCTGCAGTCCCCCTGGGAGGGTCTGAGACAAGCACCTGTTCCAGCCACAGGTGCCTATCTGTGCAGGCCACTTCCTCTGGCCTGTTCAGCTCCGATTTCTCCACATACCCTGCCCTGTGTGGGATCGTGCTATCCCCAGGGAGGAGGGGGACCGAACAAGATGTTGACACTTCCAGCCCTGAGGCAGAAGCAAGGCAGGGTGCCTGCTGGGAGGTGCTTTGTGTGTGTGTGTGTGTGTGTGTGTGTGTGTGTGTGTGTCTTTTTGAGACAGGGTCTTGCTATGCAGTTCAGGCTGGCCTTGAACTCACTTTGTAGCCCAGGCTGGTCTCGAGCACGCAATGATCCTCCTGCCTCAGCCCCCTGAATGCTGGGATTACAGGGGTGTGCCACCACGCCTGGCTGGGAGGTGCTTTTGAGCTGGATTTTTTTTTTTTTTTTTTTCCTTTTTGAGACAGGGTCTCGCTCTGCAGTTCAGGCTTGTCTTGAGCGCACTTTATAGCCCAGGCTGGTCTTAAACTCCCAATGATCCTCCTGCCTCAGCCTCCCAAGTGCTGGGATTACAGGCGTGCGCCACCACGCCCGGCCTTTGAGCTGGATTTTGCAGGATGTATAGGAGTTCAGGAGGCTCCAAACTGAGAGAATTCTATCCCAGGACTGTGGATAAACAAATGCCTCTCTTTTCCCACATCCCTTGAGTCTGTTCTCAGGTGTCCCCATGGGCTCATATCAGGACTGTGTGTGGAAGGATCATTTTCATTATTTTCAGGTGGGGGGTGGAGGAATGCAGAGCAGTAATTCCTGATGGTTCACTAGTCCTCTCAGGTATTTCACTTCCTCAGATGGAAGCTGGCTAAAAGTAGCTGTCTGGGTGTATCAGTCAGCCGCTGCCGAGTAACAAGCTATCTTGGTCATTTTATCTGCTTGTGGTTCTATGGTGGGTTGATGTGGTTTGGACTCTTCTAGAAAGTTCCACTGGCCTGTCCTGGGGTGGGTATCACTCAGTAACTCACATATGTCCATCTGGTGGTGCCATCATGCCAGGAAGGCACAAGAAAGGCTCTGAATTCACTTCACAGCTTCACTGCCACCTCATTCTGTTGGTGAGAAAAAGTCCAGGGGTCAGATCCAATGCCAGGGCTGGGAAAATAGATTTCAGTTCTTTTTTTTTGTTTGTTTGTTTTGGTTTTGGTTTTTCTCCGGTACCGGGAACCGAACTCACGACCTTGCGCATGCCAGGCAGGCACTTTTGCCGCTGAGCTAAATCCCCAGCCCCTAGATTTCAGTTCTTGATGGCAGGAACCACAGAGTCACCTGACCTATAGGACACTGGAGGAATTGGGCCATCTTTACAAATAATCTCACATTTAGGGAAGACAAGAAGACTTGTAGGAAGAAAGGATAATTGTCATTGGGTTTTGAAGGCTAATTAAGAGTTTGCCAGACACGCCCCACCCTCCAGGTGCGATCTTGCGTCTGCTAATTTGACTGGGGTCTTACGGGGTCCTGAGGCGGGTGGGTGCCACGCCAGGGGAGGCGAGTAGGGTCATCGGGCGGGAGCTGAGGCAAAAGCCCTGCCGGCGCCTGATCCCCCAGGCCAAACCTTCACTCTTTCCTCCTATCTCTCCTCACAGATGGCGCGGCCAATCCAGGTGAAGCCTGCTGATAGCGAGAGCCGCGGAGGTAGTTGTCATCTGTCCATGGTCACCAGACGGGGGTGGCGAAGGGAGGGGGAAGGAGGGACAGGGGCAGAAGCGCGGCTGGATCTCGTCGGAGGAGCCGGGTCCGGGGGTCCGGCCAGCCTGGCTGCTTCCCTGATTTCAGAGACGCCCTGCTCCTTTCAGGGCGGGTAACGGGGCTTCCTGGTGGGGTCCCTGCGGGGTAGAAAGAGTTCTCCGGATGTGTCCGTGTGCGTGCGTGCGTGTGTGTGTGTGTGTGTGTGCATGTGTGCCTGCGTGCGTGTGTGCGTGCGTGTGTGCGGGCACGCTTGCCCACGCAGACCCGCGTCCAGATGTGTGCCAGCCTGTGTTTGTGTAGCTGGTGTGCGTGAGCCCTCGAGCGCAGCTCTGCAAGGAGGGCGCCACCTGCCCACCGGCCTGCCTGCTCGCGCATGCGTGCTTGGCTGTAGGAGGCCGGGCAGGGGCTGTTCTTCAGGCTGGGCCCACAGGGCTCTGCCTGGGCCAGGGCCTCCGTGCCCATGAGGGTGTGTGAGCGGGGCTGTCTTCAGTGGGATCCACGGCTGGTCATTCTTGGACATTTTCACATTCTCTCTCCATCTTGCAGGAAGGAGAGCTGAAGGAGGGCAGCCAGATCTGGGAAGGAGGGGTATGGGGCAGGGCTGTTAAGACCCCTGTGTATGTATAGGAGCCCGGTAAAACCATCTGGGTTAGGAAACACTTTCATAGGCTACCCTCCAGCTGCGAGTGTGGGACGGGGAGCGGGAAGTGGGTTTGTGTCTCCACATCCGCTCTCTCCTCCTCCACATCTGGTTCTCTCCTCTTTTCTTCGTTTTCTGTTTCTGCCTTCTCTGCCCTGTCTGTCCCCTCACCCCCGCCATGGGTCTTTCTCCCTGGCGCTCGTTAGCTCTCTTCCGTTCCTCTCTCCCTCCTACCTCCACAAGTGAGTGACAGCTGCCCTGGACGGTTTCCATAGTAACCCAGCTCACCAGCCCTGGGAGATGAAGCTGCCACCTTCCTGATTACTAAGGGAGCTGTGCAGTCACCGAGGGGCAGAGCTGGAGGCACACGGGGAGGTGGCCTTCCTCACGCCGCGGGCCGTGTCCTCCCTCACACGCGCAAAGCTGAGGGACAGAGCAATCCCGGAGGCCAGGAACTCGGCTGAGGTGGTGTCTCCGCCCACAGGGGACCGGAAGCTGTTTGTGGGGATGCTGAACAAGCAGCAGTCCGAGGAGGATGTGCTGCGGCTGTTCCAGCCCTTTGGGGTCATCGACGAATGCACTGTGCTCAGGGGGCCTGATGGCAGCAGCAAAGGTGACAGGCGGGAGGGGCGGGGCCGCTCGGGGCGGGGCCTGTCTGTGGGTGGGGCCAGCGGGTGGGTCTGCCTGTGGGGCGTGGCCTCTCAGAGGGGCAGGGCCTGTGGTGGGCGGGGCCCGAAGGAAGAGGAGAGGCTGGTAGAGTGGGTGGCTGGCTAGGGTGGGCAGGGCAGAGACCCGATTCTCCCCGGGGCCCATGTGATTCTTCCTGGGGCCCTGCATCCCTGTGTCTTTCGGGGCAGTGAGTTCCACGATTATTTGTCTATCTGGCTCTGACTGGGAATTATTTCCATCCGGATCTGCCAGTCTGTCACTGAGTGTCCTGTCTGGGTCTCACTGTGTCCTGCCTTCTGTCTGTTTGAGTCCTGCCTCTGCCCTAGTCTTACCTTCCTGGGACTTGAAGGGGTCCAGTGCCCTCTATGGGCCTGATTTTTTGTTTTGCTTTGTTTTTGTTTTTGTTTTTGGTTTTGGTTTTTGGTTTTTGTTTTTTTTTCCCCAGTACCGGGAATGGAACTCACGATCTTGTGCTTGCCAGGCAGGCGCTGTGCAGCTGAGCTGTATCTCCAGCTCCTTGTTTTTGTTTTTTGAGACAGGGTTTCATTTTGTAATTCAGGCTGACCTTGAGCTCGCTATGTAGTTCAGGCTGGCCTTGAACTCACAGCGACCCTCCTGCCTCAGCCTTGCACTAAGCGCTAGGATTATAGTCATGTGCCACCACACCCTGCTTGGGCCTGGCTTTTTGATACCTAATCCACATACCATGAAATTCACCCTGTCTCAGTCTACAAAGGAACGCTTTTTTAGTATGGTCACATGATTGTGCGGTCATCACCACGATTCCAGGACATTTTGCCACCACCACGGCTGCCCAGATGTGCCAAGAGACACTGTCAGGAGCTGGGTTGGTGGGCTGTGCCCGGCAGCCTCCGTCCTCCCGGCTGTCTCGTGGAATTCTCCTGTGTCTGGTGGTCTCTGGTTGTCCTCCCACCTGGTGTTACCCGTGTGACCTCCCGGGCCCTCTTGGCCCGCTGGTTTGTGACCCCCGGGTGGCTGCGCACAGGGCTGTGTTTCTGTGACTGACAATGGCATGTTGTATGCATTCCGTGTGTCCACTCGCACCGTCGGGCCTGTGTGGCGGTCTGGTGGGCAGGTGCTCTCCAAGCCTGTGCCCCCCTTGTGTAAGGGACGGGACGCCTCCCTGATGCTCCCTGCCTGGGCCTGTCCACTGCAGTGTGTGTCTGCAGACTGCCGGGCAGCTACCTCCACCAGGCTGAGCGGCCGGCCTGCCGGATGGGTGTGTGCCGGCCACGCCGGCTCCGACTGCGGGCCTGGGTGGCCGTGCTGCCGACTGACCCGAGGCCGGTCTGGTTGTCCAGCTCACTGTGCTCCTGGCGCCCAGCCGTCCGATCCTCTGACTCCGTGTGTCTGGCCATCCCGTGCCCCTCTTGCCCTTCGGCCCCTCTCCCTCACCGCCTCTCCTCCTCTCGGTACAGGCTGTGCCTTCGTCAAGTTCTCCTCCCACACGGAGGCGCAGGCGGCCATCCACGCCCTACACGGCAGCCAGACCATGCCGGTGAGTGGGAGCCGCTCAGGCCACAGCGCAGGGCGTGGGGCAGAGTGAGGGGGACAGGGACGAAGCGGGCCCTCCGCCTGCCACCACAGCCAGCCCGCAGCTCCTGGCTGCTGTCCCGAGAGGTGCGGCCCCTGGCTGTGGCGAGCATGTGCGCGCGTGCCTCTGCGTGTGGTGTGTGCGTGCAGGGGTGTCGCAGGCGTGTGTGTGAGGCTGTGTGCAGGGGTGCGTGTGCACTTGTGCCAGCACATACAGCGTGTGTGCTGTAGGCTGTTGCTCATGCGTCTTGCTACGTGAGCGTGTACGTGTGCATCTGTGAGCACCCCTGGAGGATGGGGCCAGGCCGGCTGCAAAAGCTCCTTTGGTCGGAAGTAAGGGATTGCAAGGGCTAATACTGGCAGCTGGGATCAGAGAGGACGACTGGCATGGGGGGCAGGCTGGGGGAGGGCAGAGACTGGGACTCAGAGGTCTGTAGTAGCGCGGGGCTCCGCGGGCCCCAGAGCGTCCCCTGGGGAGGCCCCGAGAGGGGCCGTGGTCACACTGTCCTGCGGGGAGTGAGCTCCCTGTCTGAGGGCCTTGGCGGTGAAGACAAGCCGCAGAGCAGCGGGACGGACCTGCCTGAAGCCGAAGATGTCCCTTTCCTCAAGGCCCAAAGTCGGGGTGTTGCCGCGTGTGCACCCGTTAAGCAGGGGCCACCTGTCACCTGCCAGCACCGCCCCATTCATACCGTGGGCCCCGGCTCCCGTGGGCCCCCCAAGGGCCTGCGCTGGGAAGGTTGTGGGGACCCCGGAATCCCGGCTACCTCCCGCCCGTCTCTCCCACCCGGCTTCCCGCCGCCCCGCAGGGAGCCTCTTCCAGCCTGGTGGTCAAGTTCGCAGACACGGACAAGGAGCGCACGCTGCGGCGCATGCAGCAGATGGTGGGCCAGCTGGGCTTCCTGACGCCGCCGCTCGCCCTGCCCCTGAGCCCCTACAGCGCCTACGCCCAGGCCGTGAGTGACCCGACGTGGGCCCTGCGGCGCGGGGCTCTCAGCCTGTGCTGTGACCCGGTTCCTCTCACCCCTTGGCTCCCCGCCGGGAGCTTTGGCCTCTTTGCTCCCCTCTGGCCTCTTGCTCCACCTGACTCGGACCCCGTGCTGGCTGTGGGGAGCCCCCAAGTCCAGGCCGAATCGAGCCCTGGTGCCAGGCTGAAACTCCAGCGTGGGACGGGCACAACTGTAGGCTCAGCCGCCAGATCCAGGCTGGGCCTCAACCCCCGCCTGAGATTAATCGTAGACGGACCCCTAACCCCGGCTGTGCCCTGGCTGTGTACTGAACCCTAGGCTTCAAACTAGGGCTCGACCTTCGGCTGAGCTCTGATGGTGGCTGTCCCCAAATTTAGATTCTAACCAATTCTGAGCTGAACTCCCAAGTTCAGGCTGACCCCAAATGGGGATCTGACCTGGCTGAGCCCTGGTCCGGGTTGAGCTTCAATTTCTCTCTTTTTTTATTTTTCCCAGTACCGGGAATCGACCTCACGACCTTGTGCTTGCCAGGGAGCTTCAATTTCTAACTGAGCCCTAAAAGTAGACTGAGCCCTGATCCTAGACTGAACCTCAGTTTTTGTTTTTTGGGGTTTTTTTTGGGAACCGGGAATCAAATTCAGGATCTTGTGCTTGCCAGGCAGGCTCTGTGCCGCTGAGCTATATCCCTAGCACAACCTCAGTTTTTAACTGAGCCCTAAATTTAGACTGTGATCTCAGGCTGAGGATGCCAGGCTGGGCTCCAGTTCCCGACGGAGCCCTGATCCCACACTGATTCCTGACCCTAAGCTGAACCTCAGTTTCTAACTAAGCCCCAAACTTGTATTGAGCCTTGAGCCCAGGCTGAGCCCTAAAGTCCTGACGGAGCCCTGATCCTAGACTGAACCTCAGTTTCTCACTGAGCCCCGATTCTAGTCTGAGCTAAGATAACCAGTGTGACCCTCCACACCTCCAGTTCCTGGAGACCCCCGGCCTTTGAGCTGTGGTCTCGGGGCGGGCTGCACCCACCGATGCCCTCTCCTCCCCCAGCTCATGCAGCAGCAGACGACAGTCCTGTCCACCTCGGGCAGCTACCTGAGCCCCGGCGTGGCCTTCTCTCCCTGCCACATCCAGCAAATTGGCGCAGTCAGCCTTAACGGGCTGCCTGCCACCCCCATCGCTCCTGCCTCTGGTGAGCAGCGGCCGGGGCCTAAAGATGGCTGGGCGGGCCCGTGCAGCGGCCAAGGCTCGCCTGACCCCTTCCCTCCACAGGGCTGCACTCGCCCCCGCTGCTCGGCACCGCCGCTGTGCCTGGCCTCGTGGCACCCATCACCAACGGCTTCGCTGGCGTTGTGCCCTTCCCAGGCGGGCACCCTGCCCTGGAGACCGTGTATGCCAATGGCCTGGTGCCCTACCCAGGTAACTGCAGTGGTCCCCGAGAGTGTCCCTAAACCACGGTGCTGGCACCAGATGGGCCTCAGTTTGCTCTTCTGCAGAAGAAGGCAAATAACGTCAAGTCATGAGACTGCTGTGACAGTGACACCAGCACGCAGGCGTGGACCTTACTTTTGACCAACAATGTCGCCAGTATTTTTTTTTTTTTGGTGCCAGGAATCGAACTCAGGACCTTGCACTTGCCAGGCAGGCATTTGTGCCTCTGAGCTATATCCCTAGCCCCCCAACAACGTTACCAACAATCTTAATTATTCATTGCTAGTATTGGGGAAGATCCCAGAGCCTCAACTCGCTCTTCACACCCTTACTCATGCAATCAGTATTAACTGGGCACTTGATGTGGACTGGTTTCTGCCCTCGTGCATTAGATGGATGCCCTGTTTTTCTCCCCCCTATACTTGTGATTTTTAGGATAAACATCTTCCAAAACTTTCTGTGAACTAAGTCATTTCTACTATGGAGGAGAAGTCGGTTTTAACTTTTATTTTGAAATGAATGGATGCAATGGCACATTGTCAAAGCTAGGACATTAACATTGGTGTGGTAGGATTAACTCAGATATTATTGAGATCTTACCATGTTTCACAAGTACTCTGTGTGTGTGTGTTTCTATGCCCTTTTGTCACAAAAAAATTTTTGCAACCATCACAAACAAGATACAAAATGTGGCCAGGCATAGTGGTGCAAGCCTGTAATCCCAGGACTCTGGGAGGCTGAGGCAGGAAGATCTCAAGTTTGAGCCCAGCCTGGCCAGTTTAGTAATCAGTGAGACTCTGTCTCAAAATAAAAAATAAAACATCACTGGCCATATAGCTCAGTGCAGAGGCCCTGGGTTCAGTGCCCAGTAACCCTCCCCTAAAGATAGAAAACTGTTTCATCAGCCCTGTCCTCTAATAACCCCTCCACGGGAGCCGAGTTTTCAGGCTGAATTCTTACTGGCACTCTCCAGATTTGACGGCCTGGGCAACCCCTCCCCTCCCGTTCCCTTTTCCCCTGCTGGCTGCTGGGGGTCTGCGGGGCATTGCTGGGCAAGCTGTGGTAAGGGCGTAGGGCCGATGGTGGGCAGGACAGGCTAAAGTCTTACTGGGTCCAGAGAACACAGGGCGGCAGTGAAGGGTGCCCCTGCGAAATGAGGGGTCAGGACAGGGACAGGTGGGGTCCGAGAGACCTCCTTTCCAGTCCAGCTTCACCCCTTTTCTATCTCAGAAACCCCTGTGAGTGGCTTCACCCTCTCTGAGTCTCATTTTCCTCGCCTGTAAAATTTAGGGTCATCTCCGACAAGGTTTGGGACGGGTAAAGCTGGGCGACATATTTGTGGGTTCACACTCTGGTTGTCAAGGGTGGGGGTAGGCAGAAGACTTCTGCCGCCCCGCCCCACCCAGCTCTTCTGTCTGTCTCGCAGCTCAGAGCCCCACCGTGGCCGAGACGCTGCATCCTGCCTTCTCCGGAGTCCAGCAGTACACAGGTAGGGAGGCCGCTGGGCCCCGCCCCGGGCCCCTCCCCCAGTAGCCCCGCCCCAGTCTGTCTGGCCACGCCCACTACCGCCCCTCCTAATTCTGGTCCCCGCCTGGACTCCTCCTCCTCCTCTTGTGCCCAGCCCGGTCCTACCTCTGTCCCCGACCACTCATTACACATCCTCTGGTCAGCTCCCGACCCCCGAAAGCTGGACCTGGCTCTGAAGGCCGGGCCCCACCCTGGTGTACCGCTGTGTCCTCAGCTCGGCAGTCTATTGGGGCAGCCTCACCTCTGACCCACCCCAATCCCAGCGCTCGGCCCCGCCCCTTTCCCCTCCCTCCTTCGCATCTGGCCCCGCCGTCCCGCCCCGTCTTGACTGACAGTCTCGACTAGGCCCCGCCCCCACTCCAGTACCCCACCCTCTGCTGTGGCTCCTCCCTTCAGCTTTTCGTCCCGCCTCCTCTAATTTAGGGCCTCGGCCTTCCTTTTTCCGTGGCCTGGAGCCTGGAGCCTTGAACCACAGTTCTGCCCCATCCAGTCTTAGATGGGCCCTTGACCTCGCCTCTTGCTGTAGCCCCGCCCACCCTCTGCGTTGAGGTCCCGCCCCTTCCTCCTGGCCGCGGCCCCGCCCCTCGAGCTGTGGTCCCGCCCCTCCCCTCGGTTTAGCCCAACTTGGCTCCGCCCCAGCCTGGTCCTGACCCCGCCCTCCGTCGGCCCCGCCCCCAGCTCGTGGCCCCGCCCCACCTCACGCCCCGCCCGGCGCGCTGTCTGTCGGTCTCCGCAGCCATGTACCCCGCCGCGGCCATCGCGCCCATCGCGCACAGCGTCGCCCAGCCGCCGCCCCTCCTGCAGCAGCAACAGCGAGAAGGTGAGGCGACCGTGACCTCCCCGGGGCCAGCCCCGCCCCCTGACCGCCACCTGCGACCCGTGCCGACGGGGCTTTGGACCAGGCCCGGCGCCGGGTGTCCTCGGGCCACGCAGTCGCCCTCCGAGCCTCAGTTTTCCCCGACGATGGGAGCCACGCCCTCTCCGAACCCGTGCGGGTAGCGGTGGCTTCCTCCCGCCCTCCCGGGAAACGCGAGGCCCTCTGCAGTTTCGGCGGGTCGTGCATGATGAGGTCTCCCCAGGAAAGCCATGGAGGGGGAGTGAGAGTCTGGATTCTGACAGTCGAGGTTCACCTTCACCCACTCTGCCATGTGGCGGTCATACGACTGGCCTTGCCTCAGTTTCCCCCTCCCGACCTGAGCATCAGTCCGGGCCAGGAAGGTTCCTGGGATGTGAGCAGTGGCTTTTCCTGGCACCTGGGGGGGTGGGTCCCTCCCTCTGATCCATCTATGTGGGGGTTTCGGGGGAAGGGACCAGCCAGAGAAGCCAGACCGCCCATGGCAAGGGGGGCTGTGCCCCTGGGCTGCTCCTCTGTCCTGGGTCACAGTGCGTCCCCAGGAGGCTCTGTGCTAAAGCGCCCAACAGCAATGGTGTCATTACAGTTTGAATGAGTCAGTACCCCACCAAGGATGGCAGCGAACGCCTGTCATTCTAACACTTGGGAGGCTGAGGCAGGAGGATCACAGTGTGAGGTCAGCCTGAGCTACACAGCGAGACTCTATCTCAAAAGTGTCAAAACCAAAAACAAAACACTCTCAGGTAGACATTTGAGACGCCTGTGCCGCCATGCAATCTGGTTCCTTAAGAGAGTTAGCTGGGTACAATTTTCTGTTTTCACCCGGTGTTGCTTTTACCCAGGGGTAAAAGGGGCAAAATAACACATAAACAAATTCAAAACTCCAGTTATGCTCAAAATCGTCCTGTGATATGTGAGTCGCCTTGGAACAAAACTGTATTTTATTTGTTTGTTTTGTCTTTTTTGAGACAGGGTCTTGCTATGCAGTTCAGACTGGCCGTGAGCTCACTTTGCAGTCCAGGCTGGTCTCGAACTCGCAACGATCCTCCTGCCTCAGCCTCCCGAGTGCTGGGATTACAGGCGTGTGCCACCATGCCCGGCCAAAACTGTATTTTAAAAACAAGCATTAGAGGAGAGCTGTGCATTGGACAGTAGGGTGGGTCCATGTGTGATTTTAGTATTTTCTTTGGGGGCACATATTCATTGCTGAAAGGGGGTTACACTTGCTTGGAGGCATATGTGTCAGGTGGTCTTCAGAGATGAGATTGGCAGCTGCAGATTTGGGGGACTGTTTATGGTTTGGGATAATCAGGGTTTTTAAATGCTATTATTGTATTATTTATAGTTTCTATAGTATTCATCCTTTGGGGATTATTTGAGTTTGAGATGATTTTGAGGATTGTGTGACTTTTTTTTTTTTTTTTGAAGTACCAGGGATCGAACTCAGGACCTTGCACTTGCCAGGCAGGCACTTATGCCACTGAACTATATCCCTGGCCCAAGTGGGGCCTTTTTTTTTAACCACAATTATTTCTGGTCTGTATATTATGTCACTCTTTTTTTTTTTGTCTTTTTGAGAAAAGGTCTCGCTATGCAGTTCAGGCTGGACTTGAGCTCACTTTGTAGCCCAGGCTAGTCTTGAACCCACAAAGATCCTCCTGCCTCAGCCTCCCCAGTGCTGGGATTACAGGCATGCACCACCATGCCCAGCTTTTGGCAAATTATCTTTTTTATTTTCAACTAATTTTCCTTTTAGGAGGTGTGGAGATAAGATAGGTTCTCACTGTGTAGTTCAGGCTAGACTTGAACTCACTTTGTAGCCCAAGCTGGCCTCGAATTTATGGAGATCCTCCTGCCTCAGCCTCCTGAGTGCTGACATCACAGGCATGTGCCACCCCACCCAGCTCTGGAGTGCTTTTAAGTGGCAGTTTTATTGTAGAGCGGTTCTAGACTTACAAAAGGAATGCAAAGATACCACATTTGTGTTTCCTCACATATACTTTCTCTGACTTTTATAAATGAGCTGGAATCTGTGGTGTAGAAATGGATTTTTCTGGGGCCTTGGGGTCATCTGTGGGTTCGGGATTATCCCGGGTGTGGAGTGGAGGATTTAGCTGGGTTGCCCGTCACAGGGCCTGAGGACTGTTAGCAACATGTGGGATTATACCAGACCAGAAGGCAGGGGTGGCGGCCCCACCTCCTTCCCGCCTGTCTCCCTACTGGTCCCTGCCAGGGTCCCAGGAAGCTGGGTCCCCCCCAGCTGGCAATCAAGATGAGGCTCCATACCACGCCCCTCCCGGGGGTCCGCCTCCTCTCCTTGGGGGCTTTATGTCTTTCTCTCCCCCACCTGCAGGTCCCGAAGGCTGTAACCTGTTTATCTACCACCTCCCCCAGGAGTTTGGCGACACGGAGCTGACCCAGATGTTCCTGCCCTTCGGCAATATCATCTCCTCCAAGGTCTTTATGGATCGGGCTACCAACCAGAGCAAGTGCTTCGGTGAGTCATCCAGAACGGGCACGCACTGAGCACCTACCAAGAGGTCCCACGCAGCCTTTCAAAGACTCAGTCATCCAGGCCCCCCTTGCATGTCCTGATTCCAGAAGGGTGGGGGAATTGAAAGAGGAAAACCCACCTGGTCACTCTCAAAGGTGTGGTTCTGAGGGGCCTTACGTCTTCTGAGACTCGGTTTGCTCGGTTATGCAACGGGGCAGTCAGGGGTGGCAATGAACATGCAGCCATTGGAGCCTTGCTCCCAGCTCCAGATGCCCCCTTAGCTCCCCCGGGCCTTGCTGTGCAGGCGGGGCCCACACCAAAGGTGCAGGAGGAGGGAGAGGAGTTAGTGACAAGCGCGCACCGCACGCAGAGTGAGTTCGCAGACAGACAGAGCCCCACTGTGTCCCAGGCTGGACCAGAGAAGGAGTGAGCACTCTGTCCCCAAAGGCATACAAGCCCCTAAAGTGTCAGCCCAGAGCCAGGGCTGCTGCCGTGTATCCTCTGGCAAGTCTGCCTGCCCCCCCACCAGGACCCCGCAAGCAGCAGACGCCCCCGGCACCCACCATCGCGGTCCACCCCGGTCTCTGCAGGATTCGTGAGCTTTGACAACCCTGCCAGCGCGCAGACCGCCATCCAGGCCATGAACGGCTTCCAGATTGGCATGAAGAGGCTTAAAGTACAGCTAAAGCGGCCCAAAGACCTGGGACACCCCTACTGACCGCGCCACAGCGGCCCTGAGGCTGCGGGCCTGGCCCAGGTGAGCCGCCAGGCGGCCCCACGCCCCGCTCAGCCCTGGTCTTGTCCAAACCCCACCCCTACCCCTCGCTTATTTTCCAAACCTCCCTGGGTTTGGTTGGGTTGGCAGGGACAGAGCTGGACGAAGACCCCCCCAATAACTGTGGCCAGGGCTGGAAAGGAGGCCGGGGTGGGGGTGGGGAGGTGGGGGAGAAACTGGGGTTCCTCACTGAGGGTGGCTAGGCAAATCCTTCCTGGAGAAGGTTTTGAGGGATGAATAGGAGTTCATGGGAAAAGGCAGGTTTGGCTTGGGGTGGAGGGTACATTGGGGAGGGGCTTCTTCTGTCCTGTGACTCTGTTGCCCCCCTCTGAAAAGCCCCTAAACCAGAGGAGGGGAAATGTTAAATGTGCACCCCAGACCCTACCCCTAAGGTTGGACCCGAAAATGCCCAGCTCACCTTAGAACCCAGGCTGGAGCCTAGGAGAGGGGGACAGGCCCTGGATGGCCTTCCTGTCCCCCTCTTCTCCCCTCACTGGTCCCACCTTCCTCTAGGATAATCCCTCCCCATTGGGTTGACCCTGTTAACAATCATGCAAAAAAAACCCCACACGAACACGCAGAACCTACAAGTTTATTTTGCCATCAGAACAAAGAACTTTATCATGTTCCTTTGGGGAGCAAGCAGTAACCCTAAGAAGCCACCGTGGAATGGTAACCCTGACTCCCAGTCCCAGGGCACCGCCTGTAAAATGGGCTCATGGGGGGCTTGCGGGACAGCTCCTGGCTGAGCCCAGAATCTGCCACTGAAAGGACGCTGGATTATTCTTTTTTCCTTTCTGTAATTTTTAAAAATCACCATTGTTGTCATATGAAAGGCCTCACGGGGCCGGCACGCAGTAGGTGTGCGGTTAGAGTCCCTTGGCGCTCTGCCCTTGGAGCCATGTGGGAGGCGCTTGGAGGGTCGCAGACGTGATGGGGGCCGCGCCTGGCGGAGGCTGCCTCCCGGAAGTTCTAACTCCTGAGCTCCTACTGTGTGCCGGGCGCCGTCCCCAGCACTCGGGGACTCTACTTTGAACAAACGAAAAAACATGGGGAAACGGAAGGGGCCGAGATGACCTCCCTGGAGCTCCAGTGACAAGGCCTAGGGACCAAGAGAGGCGAAAGCTTCGGTCGCGAAGTCCTTTCAAAGCTAGGGGTGGGGCGGCCTTGGAACGCCAAGATTTTGCTTTTATGGAAAACATAAGAAGCCCTTGGGTCCTCAGAGCCCGGCCTGGCCTGGGGCACTGAGGTTGGGGCGGGAGGGTGGCGTCTTCTTCTGTGACCCCCTAACGCTTGTCCCTTCTGCCCAGGCGAGGGGCTCCCTCCCAGGAAGGTTGTCCCGCTTCCAACCTGCCCAAGACGGTCCCCTAAGTTACAACTGTGTTCCGACACCAGCCTGCCCCTCCCCCTTGTCCGCTCATCCCCCATTCACCCCAAAAATGTGAAGCACTCAGAACCAAGTGGGGAGCTCCCTGGTCTGTCTGGGTAGGGGGACAAGGTCTCCTGTGCCGGGTGGGCCGAAGAATTCACACACTGCCACGCCCGCCTTCCACTTGGGGACGTTTCCTCCCCGCCCCTCCCACCCTGCCTTGGTGGCTCCTCCTCCACGAGATCACGACCTCCCCTATATATATATATATATGCGTATATATATAGAGCTAGAGACAGTATATATATTTTTTTGAGTATAGATCATGGGGCCAAACTTTTCTGACTTCCTGACATCCGAGAGTGATGACCCTGAGCCGGTCACTTGGAGGGGATGAGGCTGGCTGGGCGCCCGGTGCCCGCTTTGACCCTGGCGGGGACATCAGGCCAGGACGCGCCCACCGTTACCTCCGGGGACGCGGGGCCGAGCGAGGACTCTGCGGCCCGGCCGGCGGGGGCGGCCCGGCCTCACTGGCCCGGCCCGGCCCCAGGGCCCTGCCTTCTCCATGCGGGCACAGAGGCCCCCCAGCGCCTCCCAGCCCTGCGCCCCCAGCCCTCTGTCATAGCCTTATTCGAGTGACCAATAGCCCTTAGCTTTCCGTTGGGGGGACGGCGGGGCGGGGCGTCACCCCCGGCCCTCACTGTCCCTCCCTAGGGCAGGCAGCCATCGTCCCTGCCGTCGAATCACCAGCCTCCAATTTAAGGTCTTGTAACCAAGATCGCCAAACATTTTGGACCAGGACTACCCGACCCCTTTGCGGGGAGATGGGCGGGAAGGGACCTTCTTACCTCTGCAGAGATTTTTCTTGTTTTGTTTTGGGTCTTTCTGAGCAGGTACAAAGAAGAAAAGAAGAAGAAGAAGAA